AGTTTCAGTCGTTCTAGTGTTAATGACACAAGTATTATGATTTCTGTTATTTCACTATAGGCATTCTTGTATTTCTGTCTATTGGTATTTCATTTTTCTATGAAAAATAATAAAACTCACCCCAATGGATTTGCGAACGGTCCTCGCTGGTCCCACGCTGCTTCCACTACTACTGCTTCTGCTCGCAGGTATCCTGCTAACGGTCGTTCTCGGATTCGTCCTACGTTTCTCGTTACTCTTTGGCGGCAACGGACTGTGCGACAAACTCTTTCGCAAGTCGTTGGTCAGCGCACAAATCGCGGACGTATACGTACGCAAATGCGTGTGACTCGGAACCAAATTTCGAACGGTGTTCACAGACGTGGCACTGTTCAGCGAGCTCCTCGAACTCCGAAGGCTGCTTCTTGACCCGGAACGTTCCACCTCGTTCCTATTTTGATTGTTGCTCAACGGATTCAAATTCCTCTGCGTCGATTCCGTTTTCCTCACAGCAACGTCCCTCTTCACGCTGTTCATTCGCTTCGGTAGAAAACTGGACTTCTCACCGACGCGTTTCATAGAGTTCGCCCGTTTTTCGAACGCTTTGATTGTCGACGGAGTCGATGACGAAGAGGAAGACGATTTCAATGGGTTCTCGATTTTCCTATCCTCGACAGGACGATTCTCCGTTCCCGTGTAACGCAGTTCGGCCGGTGAACATCGCGTCGAGTCGTGAGTATCGGTTTCATAATTCCCGGACGACGTTTCTTGACTCAGAGTCTCCGAAACTAAGCTCTGCGTCTCCTCGAAACCTTCGTCGTTCATCTCTTGCTCACGGACTTTACCTAACGAATGTGGTAACAGAGTAGTACCGGAAGTATCGAACTTAGGATGAAACGAACTATCATCCTGAACTTTAATTCGATTCTTGTCGTGATCTCTCATCTGATTAAGTGCGTTTGCCTTTTGATTCGAGTCAACCAGATCGAAGGATTCGTTTTGCCTCGACGTCCGAGCTCGAGGACTCAAGGGTTCCCTTTGATCGTCGTTCACCTGACTCGGTGGATTGCTCGTCAATCGAATCGCTTCCTTCACTTGACTAGGATCGATCATGCTCCTCTGTCGTTCGCGACTCGTCACGGCTCTCTCGAGCACCGTCAGCGACGGTTCGCGAGGCCGAGATTCCTGCATCACAGGACTGAGAACGGTGTTCGTCACTGCGACCACTGCTGAAGGTTGACTGACGGGCAACCTCGAATTCCGGTGCGCCAATGGCCGCGAGAGTCTTTGGAGATCCTCTCCGGATCGAGTGATCTCTGCTACGGCCGTGTCGATATCGAACGAGCTCGATTCCCTGCGTTTCAATTTCTCTTGCCAGACGGATAGCATCGGGTCTTCGTTCCGTCTGTCTTCCGACGAGAGTGCGAGAGTATGCGGTCTCTCGGCTGGCTTCTCCTCAAACGAAGAGTCGAAGGCTGCTTCCTGTTTCGCTTCCTTCTCTGATGACTCTTGGTTCTTCTTGTATCTTCGCGTTCGTCTCGCCGCTGAGTAGCGATCGAAATTGCCTGAAATCAAACGCCAAGTAAAATATAATAAATGTGTATTACGAATTGTTATATAAAATAATTGAAGCTTAATGAATAAATTTATTTTTATAACATTTTTTGATAGAATCAATAAACATATTATTTTAAATGATAATTCCTATGATTTCCTGAATGAAAGTAATTGTGATCATACTTGTCCCGAGGTCCGTGCTGCTGTTCGAATGTTTTGCCATCGAATTCTTGAAATCTCTGCTCTGGAAGGAACCGTTGCAACGCTCCCGTTTGCACGGTTCCTTCTCGACCGGCTTCACCTCCCTCGGTGGACTGAACAGCTTCCTGGTCGCCGGTGGCGTCTCAATATTGTCAGAATCGATTTCAATCTTGTCGATGATCTTTTCGTCGCTGTCCCTCTTCAGTTTCGAAAATCTCCGCGATCCGGAGGGCTGAGGATTGTTGTAAGGTTGTCGCAGATAAATCGTCAGCTCGTCTTGACCGGTGCTACCGTTGTCGTTCATCTTGTTCTTCTTCCTCTCCTCCTCTTTGATGGACTGTAAATATGTACAGAAAATCGCATCAAATTCCTGTTCTATTTTTCTATCGTTGAATCGTTTAATTAAATGTATACCTGCAAGGTACTCGAATTTAGAATATTGTCTGCGCTGAGCCTCGACCTTAGTCTACGCGAGTAACGTGGGTCAGTCTCCTCCATACTATTTGGCACGTTTAAGCTGGACTTCCGCCACGGGGACTTGTCTTTCTGCGACGGATGCGTTTCAGCTTCTGAAACGAAAACGAATTCGAGTTTGTGCAAATTTCCAGAAGAGATGGGCAATAAAAGATGTTAATGAAGAGGACCTTCGATGGCTTCCATTGTACGCATGACGTCCGTCTTTTCGACTGACGGACGCCAATCGTAAACCTCAGGATACGTCGAGCCACTTTCGGTGTGGGTATTCGTTTTTCCTTCGCTTTCTGCGGATGAGATTAAAATTCGCAATATACATGATTATTAATTTTATCTCAAATCTCGTAATACCATAATTTCGTTAAACAGTATATATACCTGAATCTTCGAAGGATCGTCGATTCACGTTGCGTAACTGCCTCGCTTTCCTCTGCAGTTCTTCACCGGCACGGTCTTCCTTCTCGTTCTCCGACAGCCATGCCTCGATCTTCTGCCTCCACGCTTTCCTATTTCAATATTCATTCGGTTTTTTATATTTCTATTTTCTCCACATTTGATAAATAATTCACTTACCCTGCAGGTTTCGTTTCTTCCTCCTGTAAAAAGGGTTTGCTCTCGATTAGAGGCGATGGTGAACTCGGTCTTTCGCGATCACCCGAGAAATCTGCGTTCAAAAGATCGCTTCTACGAGACTGGCCACGAGCTCTTCTCGCCCACGAACGATCTACAATATGTATATAATTAAATATTGTTTTAATAAGTTTCTTGGCTTAAAATGTACTCACCTAAACTGCCCCACGATTTCCTTTCACGAGAGCCATCTTGTCCCGACGTCCTTAAGAAGTCCATTAGATTACCGTCGTCGCCCTCGCAAGGTATCCTACTCCTTCGGCGACGAAGAGTACCGTTCGGCGTAACATCTATGAAAAATAAAAATCAGAAAAATAGGAAGAAAATCAAGAATGTTCAAGCGTAAGGGATAGAACCTGGCGAATATGTTTCTTCTTTGGTAGATTGCTGATCGGCGAGTCCACCGGAGCAGGAGCCCAAACGTCGTCGTATGCTCGGCGAGCCCGTTATCGAGACGTCCTCGTCGGAAGTGACACCTCCGTTTTGCACTCTTCTCATCTGTTTTAAATATGAACAGGTTTAACAAGAATTAAAAAATAAATTGTTGTTTGAACCGTACCTTAACGTCGCCGCGACTATAACTTCTGTGAGGTAAACTGCCGGCGAGGTCGAAGGGATCGTAGTCGATCAAATTGCATTCGGATTCAGAGGTCGGCTCGGCGTTGGTCACTGTACATTTTTTTTATTAAAAGATTATATCTAAAATAGCTTGAGAAATGAATGAACATACATAATCGTTTCTTAGCCAAAAGCTGCTCCTCCCGTTGCTTGCGCCTGGCCAACACTTGCTCCTCTTGAATTCTACGTCTCTCGTTCTCAGCGACGGCTTGATTAAACTTCTGACAAAATTGGTGGAACACCTTGAAACACTCCTCGATCTTAAACGTGTTACTGTCCTCGCAGAAAAACTCAGCCAGTGACCGCCTGAGGGTTTCCAGTTCTTCCATATCCCTCTTCAATTGACTCATCTCTTGCTCCGCCATCTAAGAGATTCTCATTAAATTTTTAATGATCATTCTTGTTTTAAAGAAATTTACCTGTAAAAACTGTGCCATTTGTTCTTGTATGTCGGCCTCCGTCGAGGATAAATTAATCTGTGCTTTGATCTTCTTTATCTTCGTATCGAGCGCGTTAAACTCGTTATTCAACTGTTCCGTGGTAGTTCTTATAATAGAAATAAAACGGGGAACGTTATTTCTATTATTTGAATCAATTAATTTGATTTGAAAATTGCTTACTTCGTAGCAGCCTCCAGAGCAGTCATACTCTTCGCGAAGTCTAACAAATCTTTCCTCTTCCTCTCAGCTTGCTGTATTATAAAAAGAATGAATTAAACTAAACTCAAATGAATGTGTGAATAAAGAGAATAGAATTTACCAATGCTACGTAATGGATGAGATTCATTCCTGGCTTATTTGCTCGTATCTCAGTCAACTTTTGTAAGGAGGATAGCTTCACTCCGGCAGCATTTCCAGCATAACCACCCTACATTTATAACACTTATTATTTATATGTATTGATTTTTAAATAAACGTCACATTTAATTGTATTCTGTTATTCTACCGAGTTGAGAAAATTTCCAGCGACCAGAACCATGTATAGTACTTCCTGAAGCGGTTTGTTCGTCATTAGATCCTCGCCGGCTAGAATCATCGAATTGATGCTCGGTTCTAAATAACCCATGTTAGCAGCAAACTCTTCCTTCAGTAGCATACATTCTATACGCAATTTGTAACTAAAATCAAAAATGATTCGATCATTCTAAATAATATATCATCGGAAGGTAATTAATAAAATAGATTTGTAGACTGTGGATCATTATGAAAAATGAGACGTTTATGGCATCGGTTTAAAATACATAATTGTTAGATCATTTAAATGTTGAGTCGTAATTTTAATTAATGAAATCTGCACGCTGTAGATTTACTTACTTCGGTACTTGGACGAGCTGAAGGAAGAATTTCTCGGCGTTACCAAGTTTCGACTTGTCACCATCGAAACTCTTCAGCATCTCCAGTTCGTCTACTTCCGGTAGAATTTTTAAGAGACCGCGAAGTTTCTCCGCGCCGATCTCGTCGTGACTCCCGTCTTTTATTAATCGAATTATGTCCTCGTTCGAACTGAGAATTCATTAAATTATTGTCAGTTTATGAGAAGATTATAAGTCGTACTGTACACTTACCTGCGGAACTGTTTTAAAAATATGTTCACGTTTAAACTTCTCTTTCCATCGAGAAGTGCGATCTGAAATAACAGAAGCAAAAAAATAATGTTAAAGAGATCACAGATTTTTATGCAACATAAAATATTTAAGGTGTTAGTAAAAATGAATGAAATTTAAGAGTATTGAGAAACCTCGGTATGTTCGCGACGTCGTCTCTCGGCATCAGAATTTCCACCGTAGGAGGAACACGAGGCAGCAGGTAACACCGGTGGTACTTGTTGGCAGAACAACCCTTCCATCTCTGCCCAATCTATGTCAGCCATAGGTGAATTCTGGTGTTCGTTCGCGACTAAAGACCAGATGTTCCTTTTTCCAATCACCTGAAGATGTACAACTGATATTAAAAAACACCTATGGCAAAAGTTAAATACATCATCTTAAGGGTGGATTTTCTACAAAAAATAATTTTTAATGAGAATCAGTGAGGAAGCTCTTTTGTAAACATAAATCTAGATAAATAAATACTTTGTGATTAGGTATCTTGTTCCAATTGATAGTCTTCATCTTCGTCTTGGGGGTGGGTATCTCCTGCTGCGGCAGCAGCTTGGCATGATTGTTCTGGGGCTCGGGGGTAGGCACCCGAGCAACCGGCAGCGCGTGCAACGGCGGCGGGATGGGCGGCAGTTCCATCGATGCATCAGAGTGCGTCGCGTTGGCGGTGAACAGCGGCGGAGGTGGAGGCGGCGGTAGAACGCGGCCTTGGCTAGATGAACTCGGGGAGGACGGACCAACGGGTGCTGGAGGCGGTGGCGGGGGTGGCAAAGGCGGCTGGGGTGGCGACGAGTTGCTCACCGCCAACGAACCCTTTCGCGACGGCCCGCACGTCTGGTCGTTGCCTCGACAATGGCAGCAAAGGTTCGTCTAAGGAATGAAAAAATAAATTGTTTCTTCTCCAATTCTTCAAAAGAATAATAATGCGATGAACATGGAAGGTGTGTTAAAAAATACGATCATTTAATAATACGAAATAATGATTAGTAGAGTTGAATATGCATTCTGAAAATATGCAAAATATCAGAAGTGAATGTATATTGCAATGCTTCTACTCGAAATGCATTTATTTTCCAGAGTATCGTAAATATTTTTTCTAATACCAACTTTTCTAAAAAAATTTCTGAAATTATGATTTAATTATCATTCTAATAACTATACTCGTAATTACTTGAAGACTAGGCGAGCGCAGCAGTTTGGTAGCGTCTTCCCGGTTCTCCAGCAGCGTGGCTCTATGTACTAACGTCTCCGCCGTGTCCCATGCCAGATCGCTAGCAGGATCTTTGGGATCCAACCGCAGCAGATGTTGAAGAATACTCAAGAACGGTATTTCTTGCGGAGTATCTGCGACCTGGTGCACAATACGGGTCATTGATGCTCGACTCTATCGAGCTATCAGAGATTCATAGTTCTGCCCTTACTTGTCCGAGAATCGCGTAAAATACGTCCACGTGTGACGAGAGATCGATCCCTGGCGGTCCGTGATTCGACAGTTCTTCGTCGGCTTCTCGCTGATCGTCAAAGACGTCGAGTTGCACCCTCAAGTCCGGCGCATGGCTCTTCCTGTAATAGTAATATCGTCACCTTGCGTACATTTTAAGCCCTTGTTCGCTCTATTTCTGTCCCGCTCGACACACATGACTCTACAATTTCTATTTCTCTACTCCAGTTCTCGACCAGTTTCCGGATATCAAACTATCCCGTTCCTCGTTGTACTATCATCCTTCTTATCTTTGCTCCAGCTATTTTCAATTAAAAAGAGAAATCCTCTCACATAAATGATAATGTTCTACATTTCGATCTACGTTACTCAGTATTATTAGCATCGCACGCGTTTATCATAACATTTAGCATTTAAGGATGTATTGGCTATACAATCAATCCCAAAAGTTTATGCACTTTAGAAATGCATTTTTTAAAAAGAAATCAGACGTCGGAAGAAAATTGCTAATAATAAACAA